ATATTTATATATCTCTAGTACTTAGTACTCAGATATTTATTGGCTTAGAATTATCAAACTTGGTCAGCAGATGCATCTTGGGACTCTAAAAAATGTCAACCAAAATGTAGGTCACAATGCCCTACTTTCAAATCTTATTGCTATGTTTAAGTATTTAACGGGACTTATTGGCTTAAAATAATCAAACTTTGTCAGTTGATGCCTCTTGGGTTTTTCGGAGAATGTCGACCACAAAGTAGGTCACAGTGACCTACTTTTGAATATCTCAGGTATTTATTGGCTTAGAATTATCAAACTTAGTCAGCAGATGCATCTTGGGACTCTGAAAAATGTCGACTAAAATTAGGTCACGATGACCTACTTAAGACATTTTATGGCTATATTTAAGTATCTTAGGTATTTATTGGCTTAAAATAATCAAACTTTGTCAGTTGATGCATTTTGGATTTTCCAAGAATGTAGACCAAAAAGTAGTTTAATTGGCTAAGAATCATCAAACTTTTTTAGGTGATTCAACTTGGGTCTTAGGATACTTTAGGGTTAGAGGCTTCAAATACAAGTGATAGGTTGTACAATTTATCAGAAGAGCGATTCAAGGCCCTTGGGCCTCTTGTATTGTATGGTAAAACTCTTGTAAATCGGGGAAGGGTAATGTCAAAAACGACCGGGCATTACGCATGTATATGTACATGTACATATATAACATGTGACACCTTTCACGGTAGAGCGATCGTTCAGTGATCGGGAGGTCGTTAGTTCGAACCTCGGCAAGACTAACCTAATTGAGTCAATATAAATTAGTTAGCAACTGTTTTGCTCCAGTGCCGAGCACGTAGCAAAACAGTTGCTAACTAATTTATATTGACCGAGGTCCCGTATCACGGCAAGCGTTGGTATGATAAAGATCCCTTTCTGCTCAATGGCCGTTAATGCCTAGTAAAGGTCAAAGGTCAAAATTTTATGCCCTTCAATTTGTCGGTATATGGTTACATCAATTTATGGGTGAAATAAAATTTTTTGAATGGGACGTAAATTAACATACATGTACAGTAAATCAATTCAATACATGTGGCCTTTTTCCCAAGGAGCAAAAAAACGGGTATTTGATACCAGATGTTTTCTTGCATGATTCTGATGACATCAAATCATTATCAACATTTAACAGACAAAAATGAGATACTCTTTCTAGCAATCTTCTTCCTCATCACCATTCGACCAACGTTTTATAAATGTCAATTTTTGTAACGTTATTTGTAATTCAATGTGCAGCATGGTATTGAATATAAATTTCATGTTTTGTAAGATGTCCTATTCTCAAAATTCCAATTTCTGTTACCATGGCAACAATCTTTCTTGAAATAAAAGTACTAAAATAAAGAATTGTGTATGTAAGTGTTCTCTACATGCGTTCCAATTTTTATTGAAATCAATGAAAATCTAATTTAGAGGGAAAACGATTTGAAAATTGCTTACTACAGTCAGACAACTTTAATGGCACAAGGCCTTACCATGCTTACGTATAGTGGACATTATCTAATTGTCAAACTCTCTCTTTCAAAAAAGTTCACCAGCATATCTTTAAACTACTTGACGATATGATTTGTTTTAAAAGTATCACAAAATCCTCTGTTATGGAAGTGTTGTTTGTAAATTTTTTTGTATTTTGGGAAGTATATAAGAAGAAAAATGAAAATTTTGGCAATTATGGGTCTTATTCCTTGCAATGGCATCTGCGGTATCATTTTACTGTACGTAATTACATATTTTAGAATTTTACCTTTCAGAAAATATATAGGTTGCTTTATGTAAAAGTGACTAGAAAATGTTGAAATTTCCATTCAAAAGTTTTCAGTCAATTTTGCTGTAAAAACGCAAAATCTCTGGTAGTTAAAGGGTTAAATTCATTAAAACCATGCGCCTTTTTAAGGTCAGGACAACTTATGCATTTACTGTATTGATTTTTGCTTATTCCTAGCCACAGTGCTCAGGTGAGCGATGTTGCCCATGGGTCTCTTGTAGCTCAACTGAGCTTTACTGATCACCCAATGTCCATAGGTCTGTCTGTTCATCTGTTTGTCCATCTGTAAACTTGTCACATTTTCAACTTACTCAAGAACAACTGAGCCAATTTTAACCAAACTTTGAACAAAGCATCCTTGGGTAAAAGGAGATTTATAATACAGTAAAACTCGGTAATAGTGGAGTCCTGGGGACTTGTGAATTTAATTCGCTATATCCGTAATTCTTTATATCTGTATAACGAATTCGTATACCCCTTATAGCGAATTCGCGATATGCATGTTTTCCTTCAGGTATTACTACCAAATATGTTAGGAAAGCAAATATTAAAAAACATATCTTCGTAAACTAAGTTTATATTACGAATTGGATTTTATATACAAATGCTAAACAGAAATAGAGTCAGTTTAATTTATCATTTTTTTTAATAATATTTGAGACTTCGTTATAAAAGATGTAAATTTCATTATATTTAACCTTAACGGGACTCGAAATCAGTTTGCTATATCCGTAAATTCACTAGATCCGTGTTCGTATTAAACGAGTTTTACTGTAAATTTTTTAAATGAAGGGCCAAGTCTCCTTACAAGGGGAGATAATCAAGAAAAGACAAAAATAGGGTGGGGTCATTAAAAAATCTTCTCAAGAACCACTGGGCAAGGAAAGATGAAATTTCAGTGGAAACATCCTCAGGAAGTGTACATTCAAGTTTGTTCAAATCATGACCCCAAGGGTTAAGGCGGGGTCACAATAGGGAATCCAAGTTAACGATTCGTTAAGTATAGTTTTCATCTGTAAAACTATATTTAACTGTTGTTAACAATACTTAACAAATGATAATCTAAGTTTATCTGTCTGTAATGAAACGTTAACAATAGATTATGTTGATAAACATAGATTCACATCTGTAAACTATAATTTACGATCGTTAACTTTAGTTAAGAGTTCTTAATCATAGTTTCACAAATCGTGAAACTATATTTATCAGATCGTTAACCATAGTTAAGGGGTTGTAAACTAAAGTTTACAAATCGTGAAACTGTATTTATCAGAAAATCTATGTTTTGCAATCGCAAATGATTGTTTTTGGTGTCAAGTATAGTTTACGGTTGTAGAACATAGATTATCGCGTTAACTATGGTTTACAGATGTGAAATATAGATTAACGTTGTTAACTATAGTTTACAGTTTGTAAACTATAGTTAACAACCGATAAACCTAGTTTATCGATTGTGAAACTATGATTATCTCATTTTTGTGAATTTGGCGTGCCATACAGGTGAGCGATGTGGCCCATGGGCCTCTTGTTTTAATATACCTACATGCTTTTACAATAATGTTCCAAAGAGATAAAAAAAATACATTAATGTCAATATGGGAATGTTTTATATTTTAATCTAAAGCACTTTTGAGAATAATACAAGTGATATTTATATACCGTTAATTATTGTTTACATAAATATTTTACTTTATCATTTTTTTTCTGATCTGTATATATATTTAATATGATAGGGAAAATGTTGTAGAAGTCCCTGGTATAGGTTAAGTCCTAAATCAAAATTAAATCCAGGATAAACAAAAAGTTCACTTTTAATTTTAAACACTGAGCGCTTTCGCCGTTACGGCTCTTCAGAGTGTAACAATGAACACAGAGTGTAACAATGAACATTGTAACACTCTGAAGAGCCGTAACGGCGAAAGCGCTCAGTGTTAAAAATTAAAAGTGAACATTGTTACACTCTGAAGAGCCGTAACGGCGAAAGGGCTCAGTGTTAAAAATTAAAAGTGAACATTGTTACACTCTGAAGAGCCGTAACGGCGAAAGGGCTCAGTGTTAAAAATTAAAAGTGAACATTGTTACACTCTGAAGAGCCGTAACGGCGAAAGGGCTCAGTGTTAAAAATTAAAAGTGAACATTGTTACACTCTGAAGAGCCGTAACGGCGAAAAGGCTCAGTGTTAAAAATTAAAAGTGAACATTGTTACACTCTGAAGAGCCGTAACGGCGAAAAGGCTCAGTGTTAAAAATTAAAAGTGAACTGTTTGTTTATCCTTGATTTAATTTTTATTTAATATAAAATAGATTCAGGTATACTTAAGCTTGTGTTTCATAAAATCTGTGGGAACAAATTTATTATGCCCCCCTTCGAAGAAGGGAGGGCATATTGCTTTGCTGCTGTCTGTCGGTCGGTCTGTCGGTCTGTCGGTCCATTCAATTTTCGTTCATTTTCTTCATAACCGTTGCACATACTGAAATGAAATTTAGTATACAGATATATCACATGAATATCTAGGCCAAGTTTTGTTTTGGGTACGATCGCACCATTTTTGACAGAGTTATGCCCCTTGGACTTGGAAAAATTTCAATTATTTGAAGTTTCCGCTCATTTTCTTTGCAACCGTTGCACATACTGAAATCAAATTTGGTATACAGATATATCACATGAATATCTAGGCCAAGTTCTGTTTTGGGTACGATTGCACCATTTTTGACAGAGTTATGCCCCTTGGACTTGGAAAAATTTCAATTATTTGCAGTTTCCGCTCATTTTCTTTGCAACCGTTGCACATACTGAAATCAAATTTGGTATACAGATATATCACATGAATATCTAGGTTAAGTTCTGTTTTGGGTATGATCGCACCATTTTTGACAGAGTTATGCCCCTTGGATTTTGAAAAAAAATCAATTATTTGCAGTTTCTGTCATTTTCTTTGCAACCGTTGCACATACTGAGATGAAATTTAATATACAGATTAATGAGATGAATATCTAGGTCAAGTTCTGTTTTTGGTACAATCGTGCCATTTTTGACAGAGTTATGCTCCCTTGGACTTAAAAAAAAATTCCAATTTGGGGGGAGGGGGGCATAAGTGTTTTACAAACATCTCTTGTTAACAATCATTGTATGATTATAAACATTATTTTACCATTACTTATTTGTTAGCATAAAATAAAGTAAGGAATTTTTTTTTGGTTAGGAAAAAGCATTGTTTTTCCGAGAAGTATGGAAGACTCTTGACATGAAGAAGAAGTCTTTGCAAAAACATATTGATGTGAAGAGACAATTTGCAGTTGGATTCCATGATAATGAAAGCATTGAAAAACTCAAGCTGTCCATTGCTGATGTCGTTTGCAAGCTTGATCACTGGGGTGAAGAGCTTCCACAGTCATGGGCTATGTTTGAAACATTCTTTCGGGAAGAAAGAATCAACAAGATTTTGAGTAGGGGTGAACTTGAGTCTTTCAATGAAACATTGCCAGAGGGAATAAAGCTCAATGCTATTGAAGATGTTGATGCCATGCTACAGTTCTTCCATGACATCAGAGAAATTATGAACTTCAATCAACAATTCCTCAATGAAGTTATTATTCTCGATGTTCAATGGTTTGCAGATGCATTTAAAAATGTCATTACAGATAAAAACCATGCAAAAGAAGATTTATTTGAATTTGCTTCAGAATGGGACAAATTCAATGAAACTGGAGAGTTAGACGAACCTCTCCTATCTGCTATATGGCAAATGAACAACAATGGTTACATTGAACATAAAGAGGACATCATGATGTACATGGAGAAGTTAGGACTCTTAGCTAAAATAAGCGACAAAACATGGTATGTCCCATGTATGAACAAGATGCAATTTCCAGTAGACTGCTTCTCATCATACCCTGCCTCCTCCATCCTCTGCTACACATTTGATGTTCTTCCTGTGGAAATTTTCCATCGCCTTGTAGCAACGTGCATGCAGATTCCTAATTGGGAGATTTTTACAGATGAAGAAAGGGGATGCATTTACCAGACTGCAGCTATTTTTATGTTTCATGACCAGTACCATAACGTCATGCTTGGAATGACTCAAACAGAAATTCAGTTGCAAGTGTTTGTTGTGGAGGGAGAAGTTGATGTTTCAACTTGTCACAAGATTAGAGAAAATGTTGAGCACATATTACACTCCCTCTCCAACACATTTCAAAAAAAGTCAGATTTCCAGGTTGCATTCAAAAGCAAATGTACTGGATTCTGCGATCACAAAGAAAGTGCTGTCATCAGTCAATCTAAGTTTATGATAGAAACTTTTCAGTGCCCATCCTGTCCAAGAAACAAAAAGCATCTTATCAACACAGAAGACATAACAAAATATTGGAAACAGGTATTGTTAGTGATACGTTAAAAATTAGTAAATTTAATGCTATAAATTGTATATCACAAAATATTAGATTATTTACATAAAAAGATATCAAAATTCAATGGAACACTAACTTTTGTGTTGTATTGAGCCAAATGCTAAAATGAGCCTTTCTGATCAATATTTGTCCGTCGTTGTCGTATACTTTTCACATTTTCTACTTCTTCTCAAGAACCTCTGGGCCAATTTCAACCAAACTTGCCAAAAAGTATTCTTGGGTAAAGAGGATTCAAGTTTATTCAAATGAAGGGCCAATCCCTTTTCCAAGGGGAGATAATGATGAATTAATGAAAAATTAATTGCATCTTTTAAAAATCTTCTCCAGAACCATTGGGCCAGGAAAGGTGAAACTCGTGTGGAAGCGTTCTCAGGTATGTAAGTTCAAGTTTGTTCAACTCTTGACCCCCTGTGGAGGATGGGGCCACAATGGCTATTCAAAGTCTTACCAAGGAATATATAGGAATTATTTTTAAAAAAATTTCTTCTCCAGAACCATCAGAGCAGCAAAAATGAAATTCATGTGAAAGCATCATCAGGCCTTGTAGCGTACATTCAAGTTTGTTCACATCATGACCCCCGGGGATAGGGCGGGGCCACAATTGCTGATCAAAAGTTTTTCGTAGAAATATATAGGAGATATCTTTAAAAAAAAGCTTCTCCAGAACCATTGGGCCAGGAAAGATGAAACTCATGTAGAAGCATCCTCAGGTAGTGTAAATTCAAGTTTTTTTTTTTTTCAAATCATGACCCCCAGGGGTAGGGCGGGGCCACAATGGCTGATCCAAGTTTTGCATAGGAATATATAGGGAAAAAAATCTTTAAAAATCTTTTCCAAATCCATAGGACCAAAAAAGATGAAACTCGTGTGGAAGCATTCTCAGGTAGTGTATATTCAGGTTTGTTTAAATGATGACCCCTTGGGGGTAAGGCGAGCCCACAATAGCCGAACAAATTTTTACATAGGAATACACAGGAAAATTATTTTCAAATCGTCTTTCCAAGATCAGCAAAGCTATGATTGGTGATATTAATATGGAAACATCCTCATTTAGAGTTAGTAAGAGTTTGTTTATATCATGCCCCCTAGTGGTAAGGTGTGGCCATAATGAGCAATCAAATCTTTACAAAGAAATATTAATGAAAAATCCTTGAAACTCTTCTTCTCAAGTATGGCATAATTATACATGTATGTTTTATTGATAAAGTGACATTCTCAAGTAAAAAAAACCAAATCTCTTCTCCCCAAACAAGTAGACTTTTCAATATTGAGCTGATTTGTGTTTTTTAACTAGCCCATGTGCTCAGGTGAGTGGTGTGGCCCATTGGCCTCTTGTCCTAGTAATACAATCATACGTTTATTAAATGACATATCAAAAGGATTTTTGAATTGGTCACAGAAGACCAGTAGTCTCTTAAATCGGGGAATCATATTTTTGACATTCTATTAATCGTGTTAATTTTGAAAGATTCATGCGTGAATTTTTTTTAAAAATGTATACATACATTTACATGAACTTGTTTGTGCACATTAGCAGAAAGTCAAAGTGGTATTTTCTGATCAATTTTATCTCTAGTTTGTCTCTCTGTCTTTTAATGAACATTATACCACGATTATTGTCCAGATCAAAGAAATACCGCGACAATATTTTCCAATAAACCACGAACGTCATAGAAAATTATCAGATCAGAAACATGTATCAAACTTGAACAATTCAAATGCATGTTTGGCTGTAAAATGAAATACTTGAAGTTGTTTAGACCACATCGATGTATTGTCTTTTGCAATATAAACACTGTAAATTGCATAAAGTTGCTAATGAATGTTAGTTTTTATACAGTACCCGCATCGTTATTCTTGACAGGATACATGACACGATAGGATACACGCACGATACAATAGGATACACGCACGATACGAGAGGATACACGCACGATACGATAGGATACACGCACGATAGGACAGGATACAAGCACGATAGGATAAACGCAAAACACAATGCACGCAAAACACGATACATGCAAAACACGATAGACCTGATAAGCGATCTTCACGATAGGATAAACGCAAAACCTGATAGGATTTTTCAAAATGCGGAACGTTTTTTGACAAGACGAAAAGATTATTTTGTCTAGTTACTGCAATATTTTAATTTAATTACTTCAAATCTTCAAATCTAAATCATAAAGTACATTTAATTATTATAATAAAAAAGAGATCACTGGTAATTTTACAAAAGTCGTTTATTTATGTATATATTTTTGACAATAATTAGATGGATTATTATGAAATGGAGACTGTTATTTTTTGTTTTAAATTCTCTCAAGAGTGTGGATTTACAATTACTTGTAAAATTTTGAAATTCTCATCATAAGGTTGAACTATGACTCCTTTATTATGGATATTTTAACATACATGTAATTGTTGTACAAAAATCCCTTGCATAATTATAATTATGCCTTTTCTCATGGGTAAAAATATATATTAATGGATCTCTATAAATAGAATTATCATTTTTAAAAACAAATACATACAGTTGTACCTTATAAATTTACCTACAGGTACTTAATTATTTCACGGAAGAAATTTACGCAATAAATTAAATATTTGTAGTTAATGTCTAAAGATTACATTCAATCTGCAGTATATCCAAAAATCGCAGCTAAATAATGAAATCTTGGGGAAAATAATACATGTAGAAGACTGGCCGAAAGAAAGGTCCAAAGAAATTGGCTTTAAAGAACTATATAGTTCAAGAAAATTAATTTCCAGAGTAGAAATCTAAATGATTCTTAATATACTGGCGCTCTTCATTAATACATGTAAACTTTGTCAACAAAATATGAATCGGCTACAACTGCAAATGTACATGTACCTTTACGCTATAGCTCTCACTTATGTACATGTAAACATTTATCTATCAGTCACACCGTGACTTACCGAGAATCATCCTCTAGTGACTCTGACTAATTCAATAAAATCTTACTAATACCGGTATTTAATTTTGACCAAAAAATCATACAATTCGATGAATTAAAAAAAAAAAAAAACCAGGGAATCGATTATTTCATTTTCAACAAGATGTGTTTGTAAAACACTGATGCCCCCGTATGGCAGCATAGCAAAGATTAAGCTTTTCTTAAATGCAAATTTAATTAATTCGTACAAAAAGTAGGGTATTCTCACTGGAAAACAATTGTGAAATTTGAAAGTAAGCTAATGTTGAAGTTTTTTAATGAGTACAAAAATCTCCAAGGTCAAGGTCAATGTAATTAGTATCAAATGAAAGGTCTTGCCACATAAAATACTTATGTAGAGCATGAAAGTCCTAGCCCTAACGTTCAGAAGTTATGGTCAACGTTCAATTTCTTGAAAAGTAGGTCAAACTCAAAGGTCAAATTCAAAGTTATTGTTATCAAATGAAAGGTCTTGTCATAAGGATCAAATATGTAAAGTATGAAAGCACTAGCCCTGAGTCTTTAAAAGTTATGGTCAAGGTTTGCTTTTTTTAAGTAGGTCAATCTCAAAGGTCAAGGTCAAAGGGTCAAAGATCTTCATATCCAATGAAAGGTCTTCTCACAATGATTACATATATGAAGTATGAAAGCCCTATCCCTTACCGTTCAAAAGTTATGGCCAAGGTTAAAGTTTTTTCACAAGTACGGAAATCTACAAGGTCATGGTCAAAGGGTCAAGGTTGTTGGTGTCCAGTGAAAGGTCTTTTAACAAACATTACATATGTGAAGTATAAATGTCCTGGTGACAACTGTTCAAAAGATATTGCCAAAGAAAAATTTTAAAATTTTTCTTAAAAAGTTGGTCAAACTCCAAGGTCAAGGTCAAAGGGTCAAAGTTATTGTTATCAAATGAAAGTTCTTGTCATAAGGATCAAATATGTAAACTATGAAAGCACTAGCCTGTAGTCTTTAAAAGTTATGGTCAAGGTTTGCTTTTTTTAAGTAGGTCAATCTCAAAGGTCAAGGTCAAAGGGTCAAGGATCTTCATATCCAATGAAAGGTCTTCTCACAAGGATTACATATATGAAGTATGAAAGCCCTATCCCTTACCGTTCTAAAGTAATGGCCAAGGTTAAAGTTTTTTTCACAAATACGGAAATCTACAAGGTCATGGTCAAAGGGTCAAGATTGTTGGTGTCCAGTGAAAGGTCTTTTAACAAACATTACATATGTGAAGTATAAATGTCCTGGTGTCTACTGTTCAAAAGATATGTCCAAAGTAAAATTTTGAAATTTTCATGTAAAAGTAGGTCAAACTCCAAGGTCAAGGTCAAAAGGTCAAATTTGGTGGTACCCAAAGAAAGGTTTTGTCACAAGGAATACACATATGAAATATGAAAGTCATAGCTCCACTTAATGAAAAGTTATAGGCAAGGTTAAAGTTTTTGCGGACAAACAGACAAACAGAGAGACAGACAGACAGACACGACAAAAACTATATACCCCCGAAACTTTGTTTACGGGGGCATAAAAATTTATTTTGATTCTCTGTTTGACTATGGTATGATTATTTTCTTAATTATATTTATTATTTAATTTATTAATTTTATTATTTATATTTATTCTTTTCCTCCGACTCCTGAATATTTCTTTTAATGATGAAAAACTTAGGAATAAAACTTTCTTTTCTCTTTCTTGGTTAAAATAATCTTATTTTAGTTAACAAAACGAAAAAGAAACTCAGAATACTTCTGAGTTTCTTCCTGTAGTCAAGATAAAAAGTGAGGGTTTCCGAATATGCACGATAAACGCAAAACACAATACACGATAGAACCTGATAAACGATCTACACGATAAACGCAAAACACGATATACGGAAAACACGATAGAAAACGCAAAACACGATAAACGGAAAACACGATACGATAGGATACACGCACGATACGATAGGATACACGCACGATACGATAGGATATACGCACGATAGGGTACTGTAGCTAAGCATGGTTATTCCACAGACCTCCCTACACATTTAAACAACATGATTTTAATCCCAATAGAGCAGTAAAGCAGGAACATGATTTTGTTATTGTATATTCATTAAAACTAATCAATACATATTACAAACAAATTTCTAATTTTTATTAAAAAGGCTATTTTCAAGCAACTAAAGCTCATATTGTCTGCATTCCATACACAGATAACCAAACGAATTTTAACTCTGGTGTTAAATGAACAGCGTAATCGAGACATGGTGAACTAATTTGTTTCTCTATAGAAGAAACGATCAGCCGTATTTAAGCGATTGTAGTAGACATGGTAGAATAGAAATAAAGTCCTTGTTGTCGTGAATGATGCAGGATAACCTCGGTTTTGAAATGTTTGTAATATTAAAGCCTTGGCTAACGCCTCGGCTAATTTCTTTTAAGCAACCTTTCTTGACCTTCGAGGCTATCCTGCAACATTCATGAAAATGCAGCTTTTTAGCTCTTCTGAGCCAAAGGCTCAAAGAGCTAATGCTATGGCCATTTGTGCGGTGTGCGTTAACTTTTTAGAATATGGGCCATAACTCAAGAGCCCTTTGGCCAATCATTACCAAATTTGCCACAGGGTATCCTTGGCCAAAGGGCTACCATTTATACTAAAATAAGGGTTGGGACCCTAAAACAAGGGGAGATAATCAGGAAAACAAAACCAAAAGTACTAGTTGCTAAAAAATCTTCTTCTCCAGAACCGCCAGGCAGATTTTCATCAAACTTACATACAAGGATTAGGATATGTTGAAGATTAAAAATTGTTCAAGGCATGACCCTGGGGCAAAGGGCGTGGCCTCAAGGTCACTTTGAAGTTGATCTAAATTTACAATTAATAAAAATGTTTATATTTTGCTTACTATAAGGGCTAGGATCATCAAATCTTGTAAGTAGATGCATCTTAGGACTTCACATCATGTTAACTCAAAAGTAGGTCATGGTGACCTACTTTTTTAATTTTGCAAGCATTTGTTTTCAAAGTGATTTGAAGGCATATTTTGGACACTTTAAGGCCTATGATCATGAAACTTAGTCAGTTGATGCATCTTTGGTCCTTGAACAACGTCAACCTAAAGTAGGTCACCGTGACCTACTTTTTGAACTTAATGACTTAACCTTTTTAAAACATTTAATCCCATTATTTTAGGCACTGAAAGGGTTAGAATCATCAAATCTTGTAGGTTGCTGCATCTTGGGACCTTAAAACATATTTAAGAAACAGTAGGTCACTGTGACCTACTTTTAGAATTTTGCAGGGTTATGTTTTCAAATTGTTTAAAAGGCATTTTTTGATTACCTTCAGACCTACAATCATCAAACTTGGTCAGGAGATACATCTTGGGACTCTGAAAAATGTCGACCAAAATGTAGGTCACGGTGACCTACTTTCGACATTTTATGGCTATATTTAGGTATCTTAGGTATTTATTGGCTTAAAATCATCAAACTTTGTGAGTTGATGCATCTTGGGTTTTCGGAGAGTGACGACCAAAAATTAGGTCATGGTGACCTACTTTTGACATTTTATGGCTATATTTAAGTATCTCCGGTACTTATTGGCTTAGAATCATCAAACTTTGTCAGTTGATGCATCTTGGGTTTTTGGAGAGTGACGACCAAAAATTAGGTCACGGTGACCTACTTTCGACATGTTATGGCTATATTTAAGTATCTTGGGTATTTATTGGCTTAGAATCATCAAACTTTGTGAGTTGATGCATCATGGGTTTTAGGAGATTGACGACCAAAAATTAGGTCATGGTGACCTACTTTTGACATTTTATGGCTATATTTAAGTATTTCCTGTACAAATTAGCTTAGAATCATCAAACTTTGTCAGTTG